AGCTGGTTTGTGAGCGCCGCAATTAAAGCATGGGCAAGCTCGCGCTCGCTTAAATGACCTGCGAGCCGAAAAAAACACTGCACCCAAATCTAAAACTTCGTACCACACAGCCTGGGGTGAGGGTTTGCACCAGGTCATGCGTGTGCTGACACGGGGTCAGCACGGCAAACATTTATGTCTGTGTTGAAGTGCAGCGTTTAAGTTGTTTGTACGTAATTGTTTCAATAATTGGTCCGGTCGGGTCGTTAAAGCTGAGTGCGCCGCTTGCGTTCCGTTCCGACGGAGGATTTTACGTTACGCCCAGGTGAGAGGGCCCATTCACATCGATAACATTCTCCTTCAAGGGACACCTGGACCCTCAAACAGCATACGATTGCAGTATACGAACCAACTACATAATTGAAACAAATGTAAGGAAAAGGTTAATGCGGTGAATAATGTAATGGATGCTGTCGCCGGTTGGAGGTCGCCCGTTTTGCTGCAAGTTTTTTTATGTGCCGTCAGCAGTATGAATGGGTGCAGCACAGTCAGTCGTGCGGTAGGTCACGTCTGCGGTGGGGTAGTGTGTGGGTACACTCGCCTCTTCCGAGATGTCTGCCCAGCATGGAAGAGTAGGCCAATATAGTTTTTTCTTCGAAGCACTTTATAAGAGCGTTCTGCAGTAGAACCCCTTTCATCGACAGTGGCAGAAGCAAGCAGTTGCACGGCTGCATCTATACAACCACTTTCTTACAAATCTAAATTTGATAATGATATAGTTTTCTCCGATACCAAGGTTCTCTGCAAACCCACGGGTTTTTATCAGAGATTTGTCCACGAGGCAATTTAGATTTACAAACACAGACACAATTTCAACCGAGAGGATGGTTTCAAATGAAGCAATCATTGGAAAGATGTTCTAAATGAAACCAAATATTAAACTAATTTTCAATGGTACAGTATATTTATTCAAGTAGTGGTATCCCAAACTTTCACAGCAGCGTATTTCCCTTCACACCAACATTATGTAAACTCCCCCCCCCCCACCGTGCCGGTCCAGTACATCATTGTTATGCTAATTCCTTTGTCAAGGCGTTTTTTTGTTTCCTCCCACACAGCTTAAAGGACGTGACCTGGGCTTGCTGTCTTCACTCCAACGCTGTCCTCTGAACAGTCCAGTCCCTTCACCTGATGAAGGCCACTTGTGTTGTGGCCGAAACGTCGTTATTTTATTATTATTCTTACAATTTGAAGAATAAGGAATACCTGATAAAAAAAGAAAATAAATAGCAGTATTATGCTTAGCAGAAACAAAAGGGCAAATGGGGGAGAATGTTCATCGTATAAGGTAACTGATGGTGGCATATCTAGAGTGAGGTCCAAATAGCAATACTCGCATAAAAAATAAATGCGTGAATTCATACTTACTCAACGCGCCGCTACTCTGTCACGCATTTGGGCAATGGAGCTTTGAAACATTCCACCGGTGTAAGGCCCGATTGCGAATATTGCAGACTGTCTCTTCCGTGTCATCTGTGACATTAAGAACAGACGAAGGACTCTGTTGAATAAAGATTACAAATGGACTTCACTAAAATAACATTTGAAAAAATCTATAGCTGTTTGAATGTGAAAGTAAATTATATGAGCTTAGATAACATCAATCAAAATCAGTGAGCATTAAGCTACTATGCCAGCCATATTTTATACATGCCACCTAGAGACCCTGGTCTATTACTATTAATTAAATACTAATGTGATGTGTATAGCTTTCAATGTATTTTTCATGAGGGTTAACACAGACTACCAATATTCCGCATTGTGCACACAGCATCCAGCCCAAACATGGTATTATGTGCATACGAAGCCACTGCAAACGAGAATCCCTTTCGGAGTGGGCTATTAATTTTTGTACTAAAGCTGTCCAAATATGTAATTTAAAGGCTTTGGCGAAACAAATAAAATGATGACCGCAGACGGAACTGTAAATAGAGAATGTTGTGTTCATATTGAGGTCTGTTTTATACATTTAAAAATGTATCATTCCAGGCATGGTGATGAGAAGGCAAGTGCATTTGAGTTTATCTATCATAGTATCTGGTCAGTCAAAGGCTGGTGGATTTATTCGGAATGATGGTAGTGCAGTTTAGTATATTCTGCACACTAGGAAAATCCATGGGATTAACAAGCATAATGCGGGACCTGGTCATATGAAGCAAGTTTGAGGCCACAAACTTAACATGACCCCTGCATTTCTTTGTGAATGATTAACAATGTAATGGAACACAGAAGGGAAGTCATTATTGACGCCAGCATCGAGCGATTCCCTTGAATTGCACGATTCAGGGTCGAGATTTGATTCCAGGATTGACCTTCTTTCTCATTCAAATTGTTTTACCATCTCATTTGTATTGTTTTTAAATTTGTATTTCCACAGTTTTCTTCGATTCATGAACGAACATGTAAAATTAGCGTAGCATTGGGATATCATTGGCGTATTTGAAATAACCGATTCGTACGCACAACATTCAATGTGTGTATCATGAGTGTGACAATCGATGTTAATCAATGAATAGATGGACCATTACAGGAACAAGGTTCCCAACATATTGAGCAGACAGCAATAAGCAGCAACATATAAGCTGTCATCGATAATAGTTGAAGCATTTCTTGAATTTAGTTAGTTTATAAGAACTGGGAAAAGAGATCATGGGAGGGAAAGTTTTCATTCAAATATTATAATATTATAATCTATTAAAAATATATGTAAGATATGTGCATGGACATAAAATATAGATTAGAATAGGAATCATGAATAATTAACATTTATATTAATGCTCCTTACTCCTTGACAATATCTAATCTAACTGGGGGCTCATGTTCGCAACCACGATCCCCTTGGCAGTACACTGCAGAGCTGCCGTGTTCTGGCAGTCTCTCGTGGAGGATATCACATGCAGAGGGAATAGTGGCAGAGTCATTAGCGAACTGAGTTATGAATCAGGTGACCTGGGTTCAATCCCCTGGCCACCGCGAACATCGGCAGTGAGCGATCCATTGAAACGTTTCTAGATTCCCACCATCACCAATCCACAATGACTGGGGTGGTGGAGTATGGTCAAACAATGCCCACGACCCACATGGCATGGAGAGGCCTTCATCCAGCAGTGAAACGACAAAACCCTGTGAATCAATTACCCATTTCATAAAAAGTCAAGCAATGAATCGGCACTCTCTCTACCTTACCAATTAAATGTGCCTACATTTAGGCAAACATCTCCTCCACTATGCAACCAATGCCTCAGCTCAGTGGTTTTCATATCGAGCCCTCAAAATAAGTTAACCATGATACTAGTGAGTCGACGTGCCGATATGTGCTTGTATCTAAACCTCACAAACCCGACTGTGTCGTGTGCAGCAAATGGGCTGAGCTGGGAGAGACCAAGAGAGACAGAAGAATTAGAAAGCCTGCAGCAGATAGTGACAAAAAAACACCCATCAGATTACATTTTGTTCTGCACTTAATTTGGACGAATTCCAGCTTTGAGAGTTAAAACATTCTTCTGACTGCCATGCAATGATTGTTATTATTACATGCACTGCGGGTAGGAAAGTGCTGTGCGGAACTGTGTGGGTCAGAAGTCGCTTGAAGGGATCTCAAAGGTAGCTCAAAAGTAGCTCTGAGATATCTGCTTCTGTGGACCGTTCTCTGGCTTGATGGGTTGCGCTGCTGTGTGAGAGAGATCTGAATGGATACTTTGTCCTATGAAATGATGCCGAAAGGACAATCGGAATGAAATTTAGAAAAAAAAAACAAATAAAATCACTGTGCCAAACAACATGGGGGAAGGCAGGGCATTAACGTCAGTGAGCTGTGCCACTCGCCAGCCGCGTTAGACCTAATCCACACGGAAAAAAAATAATGCTTTGGCCAGCATAAAACAAGTGCTGGGCAGAAGAAAGCCCACAATCGTAACATGATGGATCATCAGCTCTTCCCACAAATCCATCATCATGCAATATATATTTTTTTCTCCCTTCACTTTCCACCCCAAAAGTGGCAATGCAAAGCGGCGGCATTTTTCGTTGCAGAATTCTGCGAGAGCTCGGCGCGGCGCGACCGAGCGTACAATGAACGCTGCGAAGCCCGAGACGCGAGTGTGAAATGAGATTGGGGCCGTCCAAGCCCAGCTCGCTAGACTTCGGTGTTTTTTTTTTATCGTCTTCTCTATTATTAATCCCGGGCTGTCAGCAGCACGAGCAGCGGATGCAAATGCAGTTGTAACTTCGTTTGACATAAGATTCCAGTGGCAGCGGTAACAATATGAATCGCATTATTACAAAATATAGTTGGGGGGTGGGGGTGGAACGCTGCCGTGGTGCAAGTGGTTGGAACGTTGCGCTTGCGGTCCAGAGGTCGGCGGTTCGGTGTCGCGGCGCACGGCAGTCGAAACAACGGTGCAGGTTTTGTTCGAGTCGCGTGATTCTTTGGGCTCATTGTCAACAGTTAAGTCAAGCGTGGAAATTCTAACCTCCTCCAAGATTTTGATTTAAAGCTTTCGTGACTGCAGTGATTCATATTCTAGATGGTAAACTAATTTCCTTAGAACTCCTTTTTTGTGTTTAGTTTGACTTTCCTTCTCCCCCGGCACCTCTGATGAGCACGGTTGGCTACGTACGGCGTGAAAAAAGTTCAAAATAATGCAGTGTGGAAGAGTAGGCCAGATGCCCTCTAGAGGAGCACTCCTCTAGAGCTCTAGTAAAATAACGCGTGTTTCCATGACGCAAATTAGAAATAACGCGATGCATGTATTAGGGAACACGTGTTTTTTTATTTATTATTATAACGTGGTTGTAAATTGGATATAACGCGATTGAGTGAACAGCGCTACGTCGCGCGAGCAGGAATAGGCGGTTGTACGGCTGCCTCGGCGTAGCGTCACACACGAGCTGGCGGGATGCTGCTGGATGCTTCGAGATGCTACCCACGCGCCTCAGCATTTGTTCGGCCTGCGTACGCATCTCACCGTGTTATCGCGGACTGTGCTTTTACCCCTATATTATATATATTATTTATTATAACGCGATTTTTCGATAATGCGGTGTGCTTCATGAACACAACTACGGCGTTATAGGAGAACGGGCCATGTATAATCCACAGTCTTATATATATCTACCGCTGGGTGAAGGCTTAGTTAGACCGTGTCAATCATCGAGATTGTCTGACCATACTTCCCTTGCCGTTTGATTAATGATTTGGGTGCGTGTGTGTCTTTGTGACTAACGTAGTGCGCTAACCACTGTGCCTCCGCTTCGCTCTCTGCCTTTCATGCTAGGGTATACGTCATGCATGCCGTTAAACCACAGGTCGTGTCCCACTGCAGAACGAGGATCCAATTTTGAAGGTAAGTTTACGTGATATTATTATCCACATGAGCACCAATCAATCACGATCTTACTCTGAACTTCAGTTACCGCTGCTTCGACGAATAATTTGTTCTCCCCTATTACAATGTCATGACAACCTGGGGAGGTCCTCATCATCCAGCAGTGGATTGTTCATGGGTACGGTTGCTACTGGTGATGATGATAATAAATTAAATGTTAGACTTTAAGAGCAATCGTCATAACGAAAAATGGTAAGGAGCCCGAGCCTACGATTCCTTTGAGTGATGGGGCATTGATATGAGCCAAGTGTCACGACTGGAAATGAGACAGGTAGGATCATGTGCGTGTATTCTCACAAATGTCACGTGACGACTAAAATAACATTGGTCTCGGGTTCTGATGCCTGCTCCCAATCCTCAAGGCTGCCCCCAATTAATTTTTCTGGGGATGCCACACTGCATTAGTTTCACAAACAGCCCTCCCCGAAGCTAGGAGATGCATACATCTGTACCGCGCAGATCATTATCAATTCACTGCTGGATGAAGGCCTTTGAGTCATGGGGGTTGTTTGACCATTCTTGGCCCGATCCTGGGTGGAAGAAGGTGCCCAGGATTGACGCCAGGTCACAGAGATCATCGCCGCAGGCTGCTCACGGCCACGCTAACGTTTCGTCCCGCACATAACATAGTTATGTATCCATGAGACATAACATTGTTATGTATCCATGAGACATGACATTGAGACATAACATTGTTATGTATCCATGATACAGGTTGTTGGGTTAGATACGCAATGTAACCCAAAAATCTGTAATATGGATGACATTGGTCGCGAAAGCCCACGTGTTAAACGAACGTTATGCATCTCTCTTCAATGGCGGCGGTAGCTGCGGCCTGGAATCCAACTCAGGTTACTGGGTTCATTGCCCAATCACAATGCGATAATCGCCTCCGATTAGCACGGTTTGGCGTGTACACCACACCTGCATCACCACTGCTCTCCCCGAATGTCACCACGGATCCCGCGTCATCGCATCCCACACGGTTCCCCGCGAGCACATCAAACCCCGCAGCGTCCCACGCTTCCATCCGGCTCGCCCCCTCGCTCTCGGCTCACATCGCCTCATCCGTCCGGCGTCGCCACTTCACCGGGAGATGGTATTTACAATCTGCGGACAGGTGCTATCCTGAGAATTAACTGCTTCTCCTGAAATGGCCTTGCCCGGGGAAGGAATGGTGGGGGTGGAATTTCCCAGCAGACCGTTTCTCCGTCCGAGCCGAGGCGAACGCGAGATTGCAAGCGCAGCCGCACAAGCCCTTCCACATTGAAATCCACTCCGGCGACTTCAGCGTGGCAGCGCGGGCAATGCTGACCCTCGATTTCCACACGAGCACAGCCCTTAAGCCACAATAAACCTGCCCTCTAAAGGTTTGAAAGGCGGGCGGAAAAGAAAAAAAAACCCCGACGGACCGTGGACGTCGACAAATGCCCCCGCGCAAGCTTTTGTAGAACCGCGGCTCACAGAGTCGTCAATATGATCGCTAAAAGTGAACTGCATTGGCGCCAGAAGACCCCAGTAAACATACAATAGAATGTTGGGCCAACGTTGGAATGTGATTTAAACCGTTGGACCAACGTTGGGCCAACGTTTTTCTCGTTAAATGTCTCATTGTCCCCCGTGTTCCACACAAACTTCGGCTTCACGTACAATAATGTTTTGCTCAAATGTACTGCAGCAACGCAGACGAGTGTGCCTCATTTGGCTACGCTGAAGATAATGGTGATATGTTTAAAACGATTAGTACATAATGATGCTCATTCCCATTGCCCATCGACGTGATTGGCAAAACCTTTTGACATTGGATGCCAGGACATTCGTTAAAAAATCCACATGCCCTGACCTAATCACAACTGATGAAATGATTCCTCACTGCTATTCATACGAATTAACTTTTTTTTTTAAACAAAGTGTGCAGCCTGTCGATTGAATGGCTCGCCAAACGCAATCATCGCTGCGGTAACATCAACTTGCAACTTGAGCGACGGTGCGAAATTTGCAGCTTGGGTTGGGCCACAATTCACTCGGTTCTGCCATTTGTTCGAATCGACCGGTAGGCGAGTCACAAAAAAGAAGGCCCCCACAACTCGGCCTTCACACTGCCAAACCACCGCTTAAAGGTAATCAGATATGCCAATTGAAACCGGTCAAGGGTGTGTGGATAGCCTCGCAAACAGCGGAGACATGGAGTGGTCCGTAAACAGCATCTGCCGCTCGTTTCTGAACAGCTCAGCAATTGTTTATCTAGGGAAAAACCCATTTGTGCAACTGTTCCGAATAGATTTGGCTTCATTCGCAACCTGTTTTGTATTGGTCGTAATGTTTTATACGAATGTGACCAAATGTGGTGCTTTGTATCTGCGTTAATCGAAATGCACGATAATGATGACAAGCGTGTTTTAGGCGGCGCTTCCGAACGTGGTGATCCTACTGCGCATCAATGGTTTGTTCTCAAAGCCTTGTCAAATTCAAGTGCAAACAAATGCACATACATCTGCTGATGCTTAAACGAATGAGACAGGAATTTTGAGTTCATAACGTGGCCTCCCTATACCAGCTGCAGGCCGGCACCAGCCTACCTCATGATAGCTCCATCAGGCACACCTGTTGCTGGAAAGGCATGCAGGGTGACCAGACAATCTCTGACCCTTTGCATTCACCCTAACAAGGCAAAGTATGGTGCTGATTTTACACTTTATTTTTTGCATTGTAATTTGGACTTTAAATGTGTTTCCTTTGTTGCAACAAACTAGAAAATCCAGTAGAATAAGTGTGCCTCCTTTCACCTTTTGAAGACACTAATTATGCTTCCATCCCCAAAGCAAATTGTGATTTTAGTATAAACACCATAAGCTTCATGTTGCAATGCAGTGTGACAGAACAGCAACTTACTCAGGGTCAAATAATTTATCTACAAATTCGTATTCCTACAATGTAGGAATTACAATTCCAAATATGAGTTAAGTCATTGGTATGTAATGGTGGCAACAAATGAGTGTATTATACAAGTGGACAGAAGTGAGAAAATATGTTGTATTTTCACAACATGAAATAAGGTCACTGACGCATTGTTGTCTCCTGAACTGGAATGTTTAGCTGTCCACGGTTTAATGATTTCAAAATGCAATAAGTGCCGTAAGTGTGTTTTCCTTCTCCTGCTGCTGACCATAGTAATCATTGTGGGATTATTACTTTGCTCGGAGGTTCCAGCCAGCGTTAGACACAGCCACTGCACCTTGCCGTGCCCTCTGCCCTTTAATCACCTTTCCCTTGCTACATACTCATTCTCCGTCATTGGCTTGAGGTTGTTCAACTCACGCATGCACACACGCAACAGAGATTCCCTTGCGTTGCCTACGCTGACTGTTGGGGCCAGTGCTGTTAGCGAGCGCTGATTAAGGTCGGCACGGCACACGTAGGAGGTGGTTGACCAACACCACGCCTGACCACTTTTGTCTCCTCAGTACTGACATTTACACAGGTACTCATTTAAGGCTGAATAGACCCAGGACGGCTTCATATCATCGTCACGGATGTTGGCCGTGAGCGTAAATCGAACTCGCCTCGCCGGATTTGCAGTGCGGTGCGCTAACCCACTGCACCACCGCTCCCCGCACACACAAAATGCGCACGCACGCTCGCTCGCTCGCGTGCACGTCAATGGGAGAGAGTTGACAGAAGGGGCCAGGGGTGGGGAAAGTTCACTGGGATTGGCGAAGGCGGGAGACCGGACGATCAATCGGCTGTTTCCTGCTCACCACATTTAAAGGCCAAGAAGCCGGAGCCGGCGCTTGGCTTGCATCTGCAAACAGGGGACTTAGAGATGGCTTTCGAGAGCTGTCAAATTATTTCCGGTGCAAGTGGTTCATCCTTTCCACCCCTATCCTCTGACCTCCTACAATTGATCCCACAAATCAAATTATAAACCTCGGCTTTGATTTCGAATTTTAAACCGAGGGCCGGAGCTACGTACGTTTCTGCACATAATGAGATACGGAAGAATCGTGTATTCTAGCATTTTTTTAAAATTATACTTGTCAAAGCGACGCGCATGCAATCTGAAGTGCGGGCCATCGCATTGGGAGGGCCAAGTTGTGCACAATATAGTGAGTTATTTGATTTTTTTGTGACAATATCTTAAGTTTGTGGTGAGAAGGGATATACGTAAAACATCTCTGTTCGCACAGAATATTTTTTACAAAAAAATAAAATCAACTGCGAACCTTGTGTCTCCAGCTATGGGGACGGATACATTTTTTTGTGTGCAGCAACAAAGCAAATGTGTGGATTTATGCTTTTCAATGTGCAAAGTACCAACTCGTATAAACAACTCAATGGTGTAGGCTGATGTTATTAAACCTGGTTCGTGAGATCGCTAAAAACTATTCAAAACTATTTTTTTTTATTTTTACCAGGTAAGCCCCCACTGAGCTATACAGCTCTTTTTAAGAAGCGACCGGCCACAAATGATATATCAACGAAGTGGCTTATCACGTGGACATTTGTAGCAGCTAAATACTCTAAACGCGCGTTTCTAATTGTGGAGGAAAAACGTAAGACACGGAGAATAATCCACGCGACCACGGGGAGAACATCCAAACTAACACGACAGAGGCACAAGGGTCGGGATCGAACCCACGACCTCCTTGTTTACCAGGCGCGGTAGTTAACATGTCGCAACCGTGGCGCTCTTAAAGCAGGTGTGTCCAAGCGACAGTAACAGCGACCGCGAGATTAGTATCCAGTTCACACACCACCAGCTGAAATTATTTCAACTCTGCCTCCGAGAGCGACTCAAAGACAGGTCTAGTTTTCTCAAATTCGTCTCAATACCGCAGCATTCTAATAAGGGATGGCCCTTGATGGTCCCAACAACAACAAAACAAGGCCTGGGCTTCTGGTCAAATATTTGTTTTCATTGAAACCCCGTGTGTGTGTGAGAGTTTGTAATCTGAGAG